GGCCACTCCAGAAGGCGTATTCTGTGCTGTTGCAGCCATACTTTTGTAACCCTTTCCAGCTTCATGCATGATCGTAGGTCTTCTGAGAGCTCTTTTCCACGAGGCATGGTTCACATCAGATAGTGCTTCTTGAAACCAGTAAACCCAAAACAGGTGTGTGTTTTTTAAGGGCAGGACAGCTGTCAGCAACAACATCCAATCATCACACTGATCGGATCAAAGTTGGCTCACTCCCTGCTCCAAAGCTCTGGGAGAAGTCATTAAGGGGCACATACTTTTTGCTCCCTGCACTGTGAATGTTTACATGTTATGTGCAATTAAACCATGGCAAAATCTAATGTTTGTGTAGTATTATGTTCAGCAGACTGTGTTCTTCTATTGTTGTGACTTAGATGACGTTCAGAGCACATTTTATGCCCAATTCATGCAAAACTCCACGTAATCCCAAGGGATTCACATACGTTTTCTTGCAACTGTACTGTATTTTGTATTAGATCATTATGTGGGACTGTATCAAATGCCTTGCTGAAATCAAGATATGCTATGTCCACAGCACCACCCTGCTCCAAAACATTGGTAATATAGTAAAAAAATCCAATCAGATTAGTTTGAAATGATCTGCCTTCAGTAAAGCCATGCTGCTTTGGGTCCAGCAAGTTGTGTGTTTTTAAGTGATCAGTGATCCTTCTTTTCAAGAGTCAGACAATCCGGGTCCGTAACAGACAGGCAGATCAGTCATGAACTGGAGGCAGAAGAGTAGTAAGGTCACAGGCCAGTGTCAGTAATGGAGAAGCAGATCAGGCAGGAAAAGGAGGCAGAAGCAGAATCCAGGGACAAATGAATGAGTGAAACACTAGTCACCTAGCACAGGAATGGTGTGACCCTCTATAGCAGACTTTCTCAACCTTTTCAATGCAGAGGAACCCTTGACATAACTTTCCGGTCTCAGGGAACCCCTGCTAAAAATGGCTATATCTACAATTCATGATACATTAGTGTGATAGTCAAAAGGTAAGAATGCTCCTAACACTTTTGGTCATTGGGAAGAATTACCCCCTTACAGATTGCTAAAAAGATCAATGGTGTCAGTGGGGACTTAGCTGAGAGGCAAAAAATTGCTCATTGCACAAGGAACCCCTGGCAACATCTGGAGGAACCCTAGGGTTCCAAGGAACCTTGGCTGAGAAACCCTGTTCTATAGTGCACCGAAATGCTCCTTAATAATACTAAACACACAGTGTTCTCTTTCCGTTGTCTAATAGATAAAAAAAAATCCCATTTGTACAGAATCCAAAAAACGATACTGTATATACACCCAACTCGGGAATCCACTGAAACAATAATGGGGAAGTGCTAAATAATCCGCATTAAACTCTAAATCTCAAGTGAATACTTCTCACAGTGATAACTCTAATTATATGAAAGAGAGAGTGTGTGCTAAAACAAAAAATCTAACATGTCAAAGGAAAATTGTTTAGAAGAAAATAACATTCCCAACAATGGTGGAACCTCCCAATAACATTAGGTATGCATATTGAATACAACGTGCTAATAAAATAATCCCATATGTATCATATTATTATTATTATTATATAGGATTTATATAGCGCCAACAGTTTGCTCAGCGGTGTACATTATAATGGGAGAGAGTACACGAGACAGTACAGTAACAATACAATTAAATACACGAGGGGTTCGAGGGCCCTGCTCCTTGGAGCTTACAATCTAGGAGGGAGGAGATAGTGGTACGGGAGGATATAGCTGTGGGGGATGGAGTGGTAGGAAGAGTGGAGGAGATCGGCAATTAACTGAGGGTGGGGTAGGCTTCACTGAAGAGATGGGTTTTTAGGGTGCGCCTAAAGGTGAGGAGAGTAGATGACAGTCTGATGGATTTGGGTAGTGAGTTCCAGAGGATGGGGGAAGGACCTGGAGAAGTCCTAGAGATGGGCATGGGAGGAGGAGACCAGGGAACCAGAGAGTAGGAGGTCTTGTGAGGAGCAGAGAGTACGTTTTGGGTGGTATTTGGATATCAGATCGGTGATGTAGTTTGGGGCAGTGTTATGAACAGCTTTGTACGTCAATGTTAGCATTTTTAATTTTATCTGTTGGGCAATCGGAAGAAAGTGGAGAGATTGGCTGAGGGGGGTGGCGGATACGGAGCGGTTAGTAAGGTGGATGAGTCTGGCCGCAGAATGCAGGATAGACTGAAGCGGGGATAGCCTGTGGTGAGGTAAGTTTGTGAGGAGGGAGTTACAGTAGTCAAGTCGTGATATAATAAGGGAGTGAATGAGTTGCTTAGTAGTTTTGGGGGTTAGGAACGGACATATTTTGGCGATGTTGCGGAGGTGGAGTCTACATGAGTTTGTCAGCGATTGGACCTGGTGCTGGAAAGACAGATTGGAGTCCAGGATGACACCTAGTACTCTGGCTTGGGGGGGGGGGACTGATGGTGGCGTTGTTGGTCGTGATGGAGAAGTCAGCGGGGGTGGGGGGCACGGGCTGGGGGGAAAACTAGGAGCTCGGTTTTGGAAAGGTTTAATTTGAGGAAGTGGAGTTGGCATCCAATTTGAAATGTCGCTCAGTAGGCTAGTGATTCGGGCGGAGACTGAAGGGGTGAGGCGAGGGGTGGAGAGATAGATTTGCGTGTCATCGGCATAGAGATGGTAGTTGAAGCCGTGAGAGTGTATCAGTTGGCCAAGGGAGGAGGTGTAGATGGAGAAGAGAAGGGGCCCGAGGACAGAACCTTGAGGGACCTCAACAGAGAGTGGAAGTGAGGGGGAGGTTGCAGCGTTATAGGTAACACTGAAGGAGTGCTGTGATAGATAGGAAGAGAGCCAGGAAAGAGCGGAGTCTCTGAGGCCAAGAGAGTATAGTTTTTTGAGGAGGAGGGGGTGGTCAACCTGTCGAAGGCTGCGGAGAGCTCGAGGAGTAGCACTGAATAGTAGCCATTAGCTTTGGAGGTTAGCAGGTCGTTGGGGAGTTTATGTAGGGCAGTTTTGTGGAGTGTAGGGCACAGAAGCCAGATGTAGGGGATCAAGGAGGTTGTTGGTGAGGTGGGAACTCAGGCGAATATAGACTAAGCGCTCGAGGAGTTTGGATGTAAATGGCAGCAGGGAGATGGGTCCAAGGTTGTTCAGGTCGGTGGGATCCAGGGAGGGTTTTTTAAGTATGGGAGTGATGTGCTCATGCTTCAGAGGAGAGGGGAATGCGCCAGTAGAGAAGGAGAGATTAAAGATGTGAGTGAGGGAGCGTAGGATGGAGGAGGAGGGTGATCGTAGGAGTTGTGTGGGGACAGGGTCAAGGGGGCAGGTGGTGAGGCGGGCTTCAGAGAAGACCTTAGTGATCTCTTCAGTGGTAGCAAGGTCGAAGGTGTGGAGTGTCGAGGGGGTTTTAGTGTGAGGAGTGTTAGGTGGGGTGGAGGTCTGGACAGTGGCGAGGTCAAATGGGGAGGAGTGTTGAGGGGGTTTTCGTGTGAGGGATGCTAGGTGGGGTGGAAGTCTGACCAGTGGCGATGTCCCTACGAATTGCGTTGATCATATTTTTGAAGTGGTTAGTAATCTCGTGGGCGGTGAGTGAGGTACTGGGTGGAGGTGGGGGCGTAGAGAGTTAAAAGTAGAGAAGAGCCGGCGAGGACTGGAGGAGAGGGTAATGATGAGGGTTACATCAATACATACAAAAGCAATATGTAAATATGCAAATAAATATGCAATAAGTGGTACAGTAATGGTGGAACCCCCCAGTGATGTTCCAAGTAAATCGACCTACTCCAGTAGTAGCCCATTATATGCCAAAACAATGTCCAATTCTTGTTTGTTGCCGTGATTCGCCGCTACATGATCGGGAAAGGTCCCGATCGAAAGAGGAGATCCGGACCTTTCCGAGAGTACCGAACATGTGTGCTGGGAGCACACAGGGCGCACGCTCTTAGCACATGTTTTTTTTTTAATAGAATGCAAATCTGCGGCTGCTCGGTGTCTAGGCCCAAACTCCCGGAGGCTGCACATTTGCTTTCGGCCGGCACCAAGAGGTTAAGCTTGTCAATTTAGAGGTGCGTGGCCCCCTTAAAATTCATCTAAATATTAGCACTGGCTTAACTTCAGGGGATCGAGACTTCCTTCATACTCAGGGTGATGACGACACAAACTACAACTGATGCCTTTCATCATAGATCACATGACTTCCTCCTACTACTTGAAGCAAGTACCGTATTTTCCGGCGTATAAGACGACTTTTCAACCCATGAAAATCTTCTGAAAAGTCGGGGGTCATCTTATACGCCGGTATACGGCGAGCCGGTGTCAGGGCGGCACTTTTTTCGAGGGGCAGGGGTGTACAGGGGTGGGCAGAGGGACTGCTGTACCTTACCTGGCTCCGGTCCCACGACGATCCGGTCCAGGAAGCGCAGCTGCTCCTTCTTTCAGTTCAGCCGCTCGATGGTCGCGCAGAGCCGCTCGGCTCCGCCTCCTCACCGGTGATTGGGCACCAGCACTGGAAAGGCACACAGGCAACCAATCACCGGCGAGGAGGCAAAGCCGAGCGGCCCTGCGAAAATCGAGCGGCCGAACTGAAAGAAGGAGCAGCCGCTCCTCTCCCCCACTGACACTAACGATGGGGCACTATTCCTCCTCCACACTGACACCAACGATGAGGCACTGTTCCTCCCCCACTGACACCAACGATGAGGCACTGTTCCTCCCCCACTGACACCAACGATGAGGCACTGTTCCTCCCCCACTGACACCAACGATTGGGGCACTGTTCCTCCCCCACTGACACCAACGATTGGGGCACTATTCTCCCCACTGACACCAATGATGGGGCACTATTCTCCGCACTGACACCAATGATGGGGCACTATTCTCCCCACTGACACCAATGATGGGGCACTATTCATCCTCCCCACTGACACCAACGATGGGGCACTATTCTCCCCACTGATACCAACGATGGGGCACTATTCCTCCCCCACTGACACCAACGATGGGGCACTATTCCTCCTCCCCACTGACACCAACGATGGGGCACTATTCTCCCCACTGATACCAACGATGGGGCGCTATTCTTCCCACTGACACCAACGATGGTGCACTATTCCTCCCACTGACACCAACGATGGGGCGCTATTCCTCCCACTGACACCAACGATGGGGTGCTATTCCTCCCACTGACACCAATGATGGGGCACTATTCCTCCCACTGACACCAATGATGGGGCACGATTCTTCCCACTGACACCAATGATGGGGCACTATTCCTCCCACTGACTAATGATGGGACAGTATTCCTCACACACTGACACTAATGATGGAGCACCATCATTGGTGTCAGTGGGAGGAATAGTGTCCCATCATTGGTATCGGTGGGAGGAATAGTGCCCCATCATTGGTGTCAGTGGATAAAATAGTGCCCCATCATTGGTGTCAGTGGGAGGAGTAGTGCCTCATCATTGGTGTCAGTGGGAGGAGTAGTGCCTCATCATTGGTGTCAGTGGGAGGAATAGCACCCCATCATTGGAATACCATACTGAAATATGGTATTTCCTCCCCCCACTGACACCAACGATGAGACACCAACGATGGGGTGCTATTCCTCCCACTGACACCAATGATGGGGCACTATTCCTCCCACTGACACCAATGATGGGGCACGATTCTTCCCACTGACACCAATGATGGGGCACTATTCCTCCCACTGACTAATGATGGGACAGTATTCCTCACACACTGACACTAATGATGGAGCACCATCATTGGTGTCAGTGGGAGGAATAGTGTTCCTCCCCCACTGACACCAACGATGAGGCACTGTTCCTCCCCCACTGACACCAACGATGAGGCACTGTTCCTCCCCCACTGACACCAACGATTGGGGCACTGTTCCTCCCCCACTGACACCAACGATTGGGGCACTATTCTCCCCACTGACACCAATGATGGGGCACTATTCTCCCCACTGACACCAATGATGGGGCACTATTCTCCCCACTGACACCAATGATGGGGCACTATTCCTCCTCCCCACTGACACCAACGATGGGGCACTATTCTCCCCACTGATACCAACGATGGGGCACTATTCCTCCCCCACTGACACCAACGATGGGGCACTATTCCTCCTCCCCACTGACACCAACGATGGGGCACTATTCTCCCCACTGATACCAACGATGGGGCGCTATTCTTCCCACTGACACCAACGATGGTGCACTATTCCTCCCACTGACACCAACGATGGGGCGCTATTCCTCCCACTGACACCAACGATGGGGTGCTATTCCTCCCACTGACACCAATGATGGGGCACTATTCCTCCCACTGACACCAATGATGGGGCACGATTCTTCCCACTGACACCAATGATGGGGCACTATTCCTCCCACTGACTAATGATGGGACAGTATTCCTCACACACTGACACTAATGATGGAGCACCATCATTGGTGTCAGTGGGAGGAATAGTGTCCCATCATTGGTATCGGTGGGAGGAATAGTGCCCCATCATTGGTGTCAGTGGATAAAATAGTGCCCCATCATTGGTGTCAGTGGGAGGAGTAGTGCCCCATCATTGGTGTCAGTGGATAAAATAGTGCCCCATAATTGGTGTCAGTGGGAGGAGTAGTGCCTCATCATTGGTATCAGTGGGAGGAATAGCACCCCATCATTGGAATACCATACTGAAATACCATACCATATTGAAATCAAATCTGATGTTTTTTCATTTTTATTTGGTGTGCGTTGGAAGAGGGGTAGTCTTATACAGCGAGTATAGCTCAAACCCTATATTTTAACAGGAAAAGTAAGGGGGTCGTCTTATACGCCCAGTCGTCTTATACGCCGGAAAATACGGTATTTATTTTTCTTCATTAATCAATGCCCGAATATTTACTGGTTTGGCAGGAGCCAAATGGTATGTATAATAGTGGTATTACTTTTGCTTTTATACTTTATTATGATTATTATTACACAGGATTTATATGGAGCTTTACAACATAAGGGCAGACAGTACAGTTACAATATAATTCAATACAGGAGGAATCAGAGGGCCCTGCTCATTTGAGCATATAATCTAAGAGGGAATGTCAAGTCATACAAAAGGTAATAACTGTGGGGGATGAACTGATGGAGAAAGTGGAAATACAGTTGTTAGATGGAGGTGAGATATGCTTCTCTGAAGAGAAGGTTTTCAGAGATCATCCAAAAGTGGACAGAGTAGGAGATATTTGGATGGACTGGGGTAAAACATTTAAGGATTTGGAGAGGCTCAGGAGACACCCTGGAGGCAGCTTTGGAGGAGGTGACAAGGGAGCTCTCGGGAGGAACAAAGAACAATTTGGTTGGTATTTTGAGACTAAGTTAGTGAAGTAGCTGGGGCAGAGTTGTGGATGGCTGTTTTAAGTTGTTGTTAGCAGGCATGGACTGGTCATAGGGCACACCGGGCATTTGCTCAGTGGGCAGGGGCTGCCTGGACAGGATGGGCCACAGGGTGGCACATAGAGGAACCAGACCGTGCATTTCTCATTTTGCCACCACTGAATGCCTGCTTCTTCTTCTCACCCTCCTGCAGGCATTTAGTGGCGTCAGGTAAGAAATCAGCAAAGCAGGGAGCAGGAAGGAGTTGGAGTTCTGCACAGAGAGTGGGAGTCTTTTCATATTAACAAGCGGAAAATCACCAGCTTGTTACTATCATCCGGAGCTGCAGCTCCTCCCCCCCTGAACTACTAATAGGATGACATCATCAGTGGGGTGGGAAACCATGGAGAGGACAAACAGGCTGAATCCTGCCTCTGCCCTGCCAAAGGTAGGACTGTGCAGGGGGGGCAGAGAGTAATTACTGACTGTGACATTACAGTCCCCCTAGCAATTACAACTCCCCATCATAGTGCCCCTTGCAGTCAGACAGACTCCATGAATATCCCATCACCAACCACCACGGTGGATGCCCACCCCCCCCCACTCAAACCTAAACAACATTTTCAATTGTATCCAATTAAAGTCCCTTGCACTACATAGTTAAAGGTACATCTAAGGAAATTGAGCAGAAATTGGAATAAAAGTGTAAGAAAATGGGTATACACAGCCTAAGAGCAAGGTTTTAGTGAGTTGTGGTTCCCAGCAGCTGAACGGTAGGTGAGTTTGACAGTAAATCATGGCCAGCTGGATTACCAGTGTCATGTGCCAGCTGTCTGGTGATTAAGGAAATTAAAGCTCCGTTACAGGTCACAGTTACAGGAGTTATCTCTAAGATAAAGCAAACAACTTTAAGATGCAAATATTTTGTGTTGTATACCAGTGGTAACATGAATATTTTAAAAGAACAAATTAATCTACTCCTCTGTATGCAAATGTTCTATATATTTGCACCATTGTGTGATAAATGCAATGAAAAGTATCATTGTCTTGTGTCATGTTGTGGCATCAGGAACAAAGGCAATATTGTTGGATGAACACTGTAGTTGTGCTGTGTTGAAGAATTTGATAGGTTGCCCAAATGAACCCCAAGACCTAACTTTTTCTAGAGGGCCTAAGTGTCCCAGTCCACCCCTGGACAGTCTACACAGAACTCTATAGCAGCAATCTGTAGCAGAGAATGTAAATATAATCATTTTACATTATGTTTACACAGTAAGAAAAGTGTTGGAACAGAACTTTCTAACAGTACTGGGTTTGGCTGACACAGACTGCAGCCGCCACTCACCTCCCACTATGCCCTAAAGCAGGGTCGACAGGAGAAGAGACAAAGACGGCTCCAGCGACAAGCAGGAAATGCCACAGAGGACACACAGACACCTCCCCGGCCAGCTGCTGCACACACAGCAGCATTGAAGAGATAACGGCGGCCCCTCTTACACTGTGACAGCCAAACAGTCCCCTCTGTAGCGGCGGTGGATTGGGCTGTCTCTTTGCTGGATGTTCTGTCTCTTTGTTGGATGAGAGGTCTCTTTGATGGACAGGATGTCTCCTCGCTGGAGGAGCTGTCTCTTTGCTGGATTGGGATGTCTCTTTGCTAGACAGAATGTCTTTTTACTGTACTGGGGATACGGGGGGATGTCTATTTTCTGGATCGGGCTATATCTTTTGCTGTATGGGGATGTCTCTTTTCCTGGTAATGTCTCTTTGCTGGATAGGGATGGATTCAGAGGTCTGTTTGTTGGATGGGATGTCTCTTTGTTGAATGGGATGTCTCTTTGCTGGACTGGGCTGTCTCTTTGCTGGATTGGGATGTCTCTTTGCTGGATCCCCATCCAGCAAAGATACATCCCAATCCAGTAAAGAGACAGCCCAGTCCAAGAAAGGACATCCCATCCAACAAAGAGATATCCCAATCCAGCAAAGAGATATCCCCATCCAGCAAAGACACATTCCAATTCAGCAAAGGAACCCCTCTATTTAACTAGGTGTTTGTATAAAGTTGCTATATTGTGTTGTGAAGTTATTGCCCCACTTAATTTTGTATAATTAGAAAATACTTATTGAACTATTTATTCCAACTCTATACTATTACATATTATACTATAACAAGTTAAACCGAATTGGTCTTAGAGCAGAGCCCTGGGACATCCCGTTCATAACTAAAGCTCACCTTCAATGAAGACCCCTTACATTGCAAGAGGTCTGACACAGCTTAAAGGAGAAGCAGGGGTTAAAATCCTCCACACCCACATGCAGGAAACATAATGGATAGATATCACAAAGGGTTAAAAAATACTTCCTTTTTCAACTCCAACCACACATCTAACACACCATAAATAGCACTCTCTGTTTTGTTTATTAAAAACATCCATCGCACTTGCAGAAACAAATAGCTTTTCAGAGTTAAAAGCAACCATCCATCTAGCTTAAATGTAATACTTATGCAGCCAATATTATGGCCCTCAGAAAGTCCTTGTGGACACAATGCGCAAGCGGCAGAGCTTCACTGACATTATCGTCCTACCAACACCTTCTGGCTGATGATCACTGCAAATACCACTACTCTACAGTTGATGATCTCTGCAGATACCTGGCACCTTCCTGGCTGGTGATTTCTGTTACCAGGGACACTTGACTCTATAACATTGGGTGGATGGCTCACAAGAGTACATTCAGTATATTGCTATTAACATTACTGTCTTATTATACCCCTCTTTTCCTTTGTATAAACTGAGGAAAGTATTTAATACAGTTGCCTTCTTCCTGTCACTTGAGACCAACTTCCCCTCATCATCTTTAATGTGGCCAAAATGTTCCAACCTTGACTTTTTATTGTTAATATATTGTATCTTAAAAAATAGGGGACTTTTTTTTTTTTACTCTCATCAGCAATGTGTTTCTTGTACTCTAGTTTAGCTGTCCTGGTTGCACTCTTTTTCGTTTTGGAATACCACTGATGACCCTTCAGCCATATACAGTATTTATTAAAGCGAAACTCCACCCAAAAGGGGAAGTTCCACTTGTTGGCATCCTCCCTCCCCTCCTCCACTGCCACATTTGGCACTTTTTTGGGGGAAAGCAGGAACCTGGTTTTGACAGGTACCCGCTCCCACTTCCATGTGAGTTTGCCGCTGCAATTTTTGGCCTCTCCCCCCCCCCCGCACAGCCTTCAGGGACACATCACATAGCACAGAGCCGCTTGCGCATGCACAGTAGGAAACCAGCTGTGCCAGTTTCCCTTAGTTAAGATACCAGCGCCTGCACCTGAAG